TGCGTCCTGACACGTGATTGGCCAGCATCTTGGGGACGGTGGTGGAGGTGAAACAAATGTCCACGAAGGCCAGGTTGGCCAGGAAGAAGTACATGGGCGTGTGGAGACGGGCGTCCGTGCCAATGGCCAGGATGATGAGCAGGTTCCCCAGCCCGGTCACCAGGTACATGCTCATGAAAACGACGAAAAGCAGCTGCTGCTGTTTGGGGTCCTCTGAGAACCCCAAGAGCAAGAACTCGGAGACCCGGGTGAGGTTCACGTCTTCCATGGTCACTGTTCTGGATTGATCAGAAAGACCACCGGTGTTCAGACAAGGGCAATAAAATGAATAAGTTGGGACCAGCACATGGCATAATGGCTATGTTGCTAGACTCCCATGTAGTCAACCATGGTTCTAGTCCTGGACCTGGTAGCTTAAACTCACCCTGGGCGTGTGTGCGTGTGTGTGTGTGTGTATCCAAGATCCCAAGAGGAGAATGGAGGAGAAGGGATTGCAGCGTGGCCATCCCCCCTGGGGGATGATTTCTCACTTTCTGTCTCTCTGTCTCTCTTTGTCTTCCAGACAACTGCACGCACCCTATAACAAAAACCTCTCTTAAAAAAAAAAATAAAATCATGGAAGGCATGTGTCTGTGCATGCTTAAAATCCGAAGAGGAGAATAGAGAAGAAGGGATTGCGACATGGCCATCCCTTGTGGGGGATGATTTCTTACTTTCTCTCTCACTGACTCTCTCTGACATGCATACACGTCCTATGGCAAAATAATAATAATAATAATAAATTAATTTTTATTTAATAATTTATTTTTAAAGAAATTTTGGGTATTGGGTATGTGTCATGTGTGTTCACTGGAGAGAGACAAAGAGCAAGAAGTCACCTCCCAGGGGATTAGGCCACACTGTAATCCCCTCTCTTCCACTCTCCTCTCAGGATTTTGGGCATGAACACACAGATGCCTGGCACTGAGTGTCAAGCCACTGGGTCTGGGACTCAAATGGCAGTCAGCCATGTGGGGGTTCAGTGACATAACCGTTATGCCATCTGCTGGTCCCTTATTTATTTATTTTAATTCTTACTGTAGGGTGCATAGCTCACCAGAGAGAGAAAGGAAATTAAAAAAAAAAAGAGTAAGAGAGGGAAAGTGAGAAATCACCCCTTAGCAGAGATGGCCATGCCACAATCCCTTCGCCTTCATTCTCCTCTTGGGATTTTGAGCACAAACACACACACGCACCTGATGTGTTTCTCAAGCTGCTGGGTCTAGGGCTCAAACTACATATTAGGCCACATGGGATCAAGCTACTCCCACCACCACATCACCAATGGTCCTGTTATTATTTTTATTTCAATCTTTTAATGTGTGGATTTTCTTATAATTTTATTTATTTATTAATTTATTTTAATTTGACCTCACACACACACACACACACACACACACACACAGACAGGGTGGGAGCGGAGGAAGTGAGAAAGCAAGCCACCTGGTTTGAGACTCAGTCTGTGGACAGACATGTGGGAGTGTCCAGCACCTTAGCCACCATGCCACCTGCTGATCCCACAATGTGTGTTTGTTTTTTATGATAGGGAATGAGTGAGTGCAGGAGAGAGGGAGGCAGAGAGAGACCAGCAGGGTCTTCACACCACAGTCCAACCTCCAGCCTACATAGCCTGGATCACAGGCGTGTACATGTACCTAGTTTGCACAGGGAACTCCCTGACCCACCCGGTCTTCCAGAGCTGCCTTTCATTCGGCACCCACATAGCTCTGAGCTATGAACCAGGGACCTCCCAATGTGGGTCCAGCTGCATTACTCTGGCGCCACCCTCTGACCTTTAACCTATCCTTTTCTTTACTTTTCTTTTTTTTTTTTTTTAAGTATTTTTTATTTATTTTTATTTAACCTGAGAAAGACAGACACACAGAAAGAAGGAAAGTGAGAAAGCAAGCCACCAGGTCCGGGACTTGAACTGTGGTTGACCATGAGGGAGTCCAGCACTGTTAACCACCATGTCACCTGTTGGCCCTTGCTTTTTCTTCTTAAAGAATTATTTAATATTTTTATTATTTTTTAAATGTTTATTTTGCTATAGGACACACACACTCACTAGAGAGAGATGGGGAGGGTGAGAAAGTAAGCCAGGTCTGGGACTCGAACTGCAGTTGGCCATGTGGGAGGGAGTCCAGAATCTAAAGGACCATACCACATGCTGCCCCTGACCAGTCTTGCGTTTTCTTCCCTTTTGGTTTAGAATTATTTATGATTTTTAGATTATTTTATTTAATTTTCTTCTTTTTTTTTTTTTTTTAGGGATTTTTGTTATAGGGTGCATGCACTCACTGGAGAGACATAGAGATAGAAAGTGAGAAGTCACTCCCTGGCGGATGGCCATGCCCCAATCTCTATTCTCCTCTTGGGATCTTGGGCACACACATGCACCCAGCATAAGATCTTTTTTAAAGTTCTTTTTTTCTTAAGAATTATCTTTTATTTAACTTCATTTATTTATTTAGTTTAATATGGTCAGAGAGAGACAGAATAAGAGAGAAAGAGAGACAGGGAAAGTGAGAAAGCAAGCTTCCAGAACTGGGACTCGAACTGCAGTAGGCCATGTGGGAGTCCAGTGCCCTTAACTACCGTGCCACCTGCCGACACCCGCCCCCACACACACACACACCCTAGCATGAGCTTTAAGCCGCTGGGTCTGAGTCAAACCATGGTCGACTATATGGGAGTCTAGGGACATAACCATTATACTATCTGCTGGTCCTGATCATTATTATTTTTTAAATTTGACAAGAGAGAGTGAGAGAGACAGGGAATGTGAGAAATCATCCTCAAGGGAAGATGGCCATGCCACAATCCCTTCTCCATTCTCCTCTCAACATTTGGAGCATGGATGCATGGATGCCAGCATGATTTTCAAGGCACCAGGTCCTGAGACTCACACTGCAGTCAGCCATGGGTAGTCCAGTTCCTTAACCACCACTCCACCTGCTAGCCACACACTCTTTTTATCTGTAGAGGGATTTTCACTATAGGGCAGGTATGCTCCCCAGAGACACAAGGAGAGACAAAGAACAAGTGAGGGGTGGCTGGCCACGCCACAGTAACTTCACTTTTCTCTCAGGATCTTGGGCATGCTCACACATGTGCATGGCTTGAGGGATTTTTTTTTTCCTAGAGAGACTTTTGCTATAGGGAGTATGTGCTTGCCAGACAAAAAGAGACAGAGAGACAGAAAGCAAGAAATCACCACCCCCTCCCAAGGGGAATGGACATATCACAATCCCTTCCTCCATTTCCTCTCAGGATTTTGGGCACACTCACACGCGTGTCCAGCAGGAGTTTTAAGCCACTGGGTCTGGAACTTGAACTGTGGTCAACTACATGGGAGTCCAGCAACATAACCATTATGCCATCTGGTGGACCCCTGGCGTGAATTTTAAGCCACAGGGTCTGGGACTCAAACCGTGATCGGCTATGTGGGAGTCCAGTGACATAGCCATCCTGCCCTCAGCTGGTCTCTAATCTTAGAACTTTTTATATTTTTTTTTGAGAAGTTTTTGCTATAGAGTGTATGTGCTCTCCAGACAGACAGAGAGAGACAGAGAGACAGAAAGTGAGAAATCATTCCCAAGAAGGGATGGCCATGCCGCAATCCCTTCTCCTCCATTCTTATAACGGGATCTTGGGCACGCACGCACACAAGCCATGCACCCATCCTGAGTTTAAGCCACCGGGTCCGAGACTGGAGCTGTGGTCAACTCCGTGGGAGTCCAGTGACATAGCCATTATGCCAACTGTTGGTTTCATAGTTTTTTTTTTTATTATTATACAAATGAGTTAAATTAACTGAAGCCCAGAGAGGTAATGTCACTTCCCCAAAGCCACACAGTGGTTCTGGCTGGAGACCCTGTAGCTTTCTGCTCGCTATTTGGGTTCCCTTCCTGGTTTCTTTCTTTCCATACTCACCTATGAGACGGGTCTCTCTGGCTGCGGAGATATTTGCCAAAAGGTGAACCAGTGCTTCTGGAAAAGCGTCCTAGGCTGACTGAAAAGGAGGCAGGTCTTCAACCCCATAGGAAGGAGCTCAAGGACCTGGCAGGGAACCATTTATCCCTCCATCCTCTGACCCCGGGCTCTGTCCCCTGTGCCTTGTTAGGGCACCTGCTAATTGTCCACCCCACATTCCCACTATGTCCCAGCTGGGCCGCCCTCTTTGGGGAGGAAGATGTTAATAGCTCGTTCTGGGCTTTTCCCTCCACCCCTGCCTTCCACCCCTGCTGAGTCGAGGGTGGTGGGGGTTCTTTGGGGAGCCTCCTGCAGAGTGCGGATCCAGTGGAATGCCTCTGGCTCCCTTAGACTTGCCCATGCACTCCTGTAAACCCCTAGTTCCCCACTGCTAGCAATGATGTCCTCTTACCATTTAATTTTTTAAATTTAAATATTTGATTATTTTATTAAATATTTAAACAAGTTAAAAAATATTTTATTTAACTTTATTTATTTATTTGAATTTGACCAGAGAGGGACAAAATGAGAGAAAGAGAAAGTGAGAAAGCAAGCCACCATGTCCGGGACTTGAACCACAGTTGGGCATATGGGAATCTAGTACCCACAACCACCATGCCATCAGCTGGTCCCTGATTATTTAAAAAATCAATGAAATACAAAATGAAAGGGAATGCTGGTAATGAGGGAAGAAAAATAATCTAGAAGTCATATAGAAATCAAATAGCAAAATGGCAGAAATAATCCATTATTATTATTATTACTTTTTAGATTTTTTTGCTATAGGGTGCATGTGTTCACCAGAGAGACAGAAAGCAAGAAATCACCTCTCAGAGGGATGGCCATGACACAATCCCTTCTCCTCCATTCTCTTCTTGGAATTTTGGGCACACATGCACATGCACTCAGCATGAGTTTCAAGCTACCAAGTCCAGCATTCAAATCATGGCTGGCCATGTGGGAGTCCAGTGAAATAACCATGACGTCATCTGCTGGTTCCAATCCTTCCTTATTAGGAATTATTTATCGAGGGGCAGGCAGATGGTATGGTGGTTAAAGGTGTTGGACTCCCACATGACCAACCATGGTTCAATTTCTGGACCTGGTGGCTTGCTTTCTCACTCCCCCAACCCTTCTCTCTCTCTCTGTTCCAGTCTGGTCAAATTAAAATAAAATAAATTTAAATGAAATAATTATTTGAAAAATTATTTATCTAAAAAAATTTTCTAGAGGGCCCGTGTACTTGCTAGAGAGAGACAGGGTGACAAAGTAAGAAATCACTCCCTCCTATCTGGGATGGGCACTCTGCAATCCCTTCCTCATTCTCCTCTAGAGATTTTGGGCATGTAAGCCCCACGCCCAGTGTGTTTTCTGCTAAGCCGGAGTTGGAACTCAAACCATACAGTTGGCCACGTGGGATCTAGATGCATTAAACTCCAGACCATCTGCTGCCCCTCCTCCTCTGCCCCTTATTCTATATTTTTGCTTTTGAAATGATTTCAGTGCCATGAAAAGTTCAGGGAGAGGGTCTGGTTGGTGGTGTGGTGGTTAAAGGCACTGGACCCCCTACAAGGCCAACTGTGGTTCGAGTCCCAAACCTGGTGGCTTGCTTTCTCACTTTTTCCCTTTCCCTCTCTCTCTCTGTCTCTCTCTGTCTCTCTCTGTCCCTCTCTGGAAAAATTAAAATAAGTAAATAAAGTTAAATAAAATAATTTTAAAAATTTATTTAGAAAAAAGTTCAGGTAGTTATTGTACATCCACAGGAACTCTTGCACAGAACAGCAAATCCACAAGTACCTTTCTAATGCCATGGCACTTTGGAGGACATGCTAAAGTCAACGATGCATGAAGTTGACACTTTTTTAGGCTAAGTAGATATTTCAAACGTTTCTCAAGTTTGATTTCGCAACCTTGCTTTTATTTACTTATTTATTTTTTTTAAATGTTTTTACCAAGGGCATGTGTGCTCACTGGAGAGAGAAAGGGGGAGACAGAGAGATGGGAAGTGAAAAATCACCCCCTGGGGGATGGCCAGGTTGCAATTCCTTCCCCTCCAGTCTCCTCTGAGGATTTTGCGCATTCACACCTGGCGTGATTTTCTTTCATTTTGGAGAAGTTTTTACTACACAGCATGTGCGCTTGCCAGGAAGAAAGAGAGAGACAGAGACAGAAAGCGAGAAAACACCCCCCCAGGGGGGATGGCCATGCTGCAATCCCTTCTCCTCTATTCTCCTCTTGGGACCTTGGGCACATACACACACGCGCCCAGTGTGGGTTTGTCACTGGGTCCGGGACTCGAACTTCAGTCGACTACATGGGAGTCCAGCAATATAGCCATTACACCAACTGCTGGTCCCAATATTATTCATTCTTAAAAAGAAAGGGGACAGCAGGTGGCATGGTATTTGGGGTGCTGGGTTCCCACATGACCGACCGTGGTTCGAGTCTCAGACCCTGTGGCTTGAAACTCACGCTGCGTGCATGTGTGTGCATCCCCAAAATTCTGAGAGGAGAATGGAGGAGAAGGGACTGTGGCATGGCCATTCCCCCGAGGGATGACTTCTCACTTACTGTCTCTCTGGCAAGTGCATGTGCCCTATACAAAGGTCTCTCAAAAGAAAAGGAAAGAAAAGGGAATTATGGCACCTACTACCACACAAATGAATGTTGCAGACCCCATGCTAAGTGAAATATGAGTCACACAAAGACAAATACTGCACAATCCTCCTTATATGAGGTAACCAAAATAATTAAATGCAGGGAAACAGAAAGTGGGATGTTGGGTGTGAGGGAGAAGTGGGGAGTTAGTATTTAATGGGGACAAAGTTTCAGTTTTTACAAGAGGAAAGAGTTTTGGAGAGAAGAGGTGGTGATAGTTATAAAATGATATGAATATATTTAATGCCCTTGAACTGTACACTTAAACATGGTTAATATATGGAGCCAGCAAGTGGCGTGGTAGTTAAGGCTCTGGACTCCCCATGGGCAACTGAAGTTCAAGTCCTGGGTTGGTGGCTTACGTTCTTACTTTCCCTGTCTCTGGTCAAACTTAAACATAATAAATAAATAAAACTTTAAAAATAATAATAATAAATAAAATTAAATTAGTCATTTATTTTTTAAAAAAGGATTGGAACCAGTAGATGGCATTGCAGTTACATTGGACTCCCACATGGCCGACTGCTGCTTAAGTCCCAGACCCAATGGCTTGAAAGATCACCCCGGGTGCATGTGAGTGCATGCCCAAGATCCTGAGAGGAGAATGGAGGGGAAGGGATTGTGGCATGGCCATTCCCCCCACCCCCCAGGGCGTGACTTCTCACTTTCCCTTTCACTGTCTCTGTTTCACTCTGGTTAGTGCACATGCCCTAAAGCAAAAAACTTTTAAAAAGTAATAAATAAAATTTAAAATGGTAATAAAATAATCAAATAATTAATAATAAAACTATTCGTTAATAAAATGAAATAATTTCTTTATTTTAAATATTTATTGTTATTTTCAACTAGATTAGAGAGAGAGAGAGAGAGAGAGAGAGAGGGAAAGTAAGAAAACAAGCCTCCAGGTCTAGCCTCCTGAACCATAGTCAGGCATGTAAGTGTCCAGCACCTTAACGATTACACCACCTGCCAACCCCTAAATAATCCTTTTTTTTAAAAGAATAAAACATTAAACAAATGCCCTGGAAGCAATATAAAGAAAATATCTCAGATTGCAACTGTGCAGGGAAATTAGGGTGGATGGGCCTGTCTGCACAGTCAGACCTCCCAACCCTGCAGTAACCGGAACGAAGCCGGCCTCCTGCAGACCAGCGCCCCCAGGGCACCCTTCATGTCACTGTTGCGCAGGCTGTAGATGAAGGGGTTCAGCATGGGGGTGACCATGGTGTATATCACTGCGGCAGCTATGGCGTTCCGGGGCGGGTGGGGGGACATGGGGCTGAAATAAACCCCGATGAACGTCCCGTAGAACAAGGTCACCACAGACAGGTGAGAGCCGCAGGTGGAGAAAGCCTTCCACCTCCCTCCGGTGGATGGGATCTTCAACACCGCAGCGACGATGCGCGTGTAGGACACCAAGATGCCCATGAAGGGGGTGATGATGGTCAGGATGCCCACCGTGTACACCATGACATTGTTGAGAAACGTGTCCGAGCAGGCCAGCTTCAGCAGAGCGCTCAGGTCGCAGAAGAAATGGGGGACCCAGTTGTGGGTGCAGAATGAAAGGCGGGTCAGTAAGACTGTGTGGGTCAGGGCGTTCCCTAAGGCAGCGGTCCAGGAGGAAGCCTGTAGGAGCCCGCAGAGCCATGGGGTCATGGATGTGGTGTAATGCAGTGGGTGACAGATGGCCACGTAGCGGTCATAGGCCTTGGCGGTCCGAACGGAAACTGTCAATGCCCCCAAACCAGATGAAGAAGAACATCTGGGTCAAGCAGCCTGCGTAAGAGATCCCTCTGCGTCCTGACACGTGATTGGCCAGCATCTTGGGGACGGTGGTGGAGGTGAAACAAATATCTACGAAGGCCAGGTTGGCCAGGAAGAAGTACATGGGCGTGTGGAGCCGGGCGTCCATGCGGATGGCCAGGATGATGAGCAGGTTCCCCAGCCCGGTCACCAAGTACATGTTCATGAAAATGACGAAAAGTAGCTGCTGCTGTTTGGGGTCCTCTGAGAACCCCAAGAACAAGAACTCGGAGACCTGGGTGAGGTTCACTTCTTCCATGGTCACCGTTCTGGCTCAATCAGAAAGACCATCAGTGTTCAGACAGGGCAATAAAATGAATATGTTAGGACTAGCAGATGAAGTACTGGCTACGTCATTAGACTCCCATGTACTCGACCACGGTTCGAGTCCCAGACCCAGTGGCTTAAATTCACCCTGGGCACGTGTGCATGCATGCCCAAGATCCTGAGAAGAGAATGGAGGAGAAGGGATTGCGGCGTGTGGCCCTCAGCCCTGGGGGGTGATTTCTTGCTTTCTGTCTCCTTGTCTCTTTCTGTCTTTCTGACAAGTGTACACACCTTATAACAAACACCTTTCAAAAAAAAATCATGGAGGACGTTTGTGCGTGCGTACTCAAAATCCCAAGAGAAGAATGGAGAAGGGATTGCGACATGGCCATCCCCCTTGGGGGATTATTTCTTACTTTCTCTCTCACTGACTCTCTCTGACATGCATGCACGTCCTATGGCTAAAATAAGGTATTGGGCATGTTTGCTCACTGGAGAGAGTTAGAGAACAAGAAGTCACCGCCCAGGGGGTTTGGCCATTCTGTAATCCCCTGTTCCACTGTCCTCTCAGGATTTGGGGCATGAACACACAGATGCCTGGCACTGAGTGTCAAGACACTGGGTCTGGGACTCAAATGGCAGTCAGCCATGTGGGAGTTTAGTGACATAACCACTATGCCATCTGCTGGTCATTTATTTAAATTTTTGCTGAAGGGAGCATGAGCTCACCAGAGAGAGACAGAAAGAGTAAGAGAGGAAAAGTGAGAAATCACCCTTAGCAGAGATGGCCACGTCACAATCCCTTCTTCTCCATTCTCCTCTTGGGAGTTTGAGCACACACACATGCACCTGGCGTGTTTCTCAAGCTGCTGGGTCTGGGGCTCAGACTGCACAGTGGGCCACGGGAGATCAAGCTACTCCAATCACCACACCACCAGATGGCCCTATTATTATTATTATTTCAATCTTTTAATGTGTGGGTTTTCTTATAATTTTATTTGTTTATTTGTTTATTTTAATTTGACCAGACACACACACACACACACACACACACACACACACAGGGTGGGAGCGGAGGAAGTGAGAAAGCAAGCCACCTGGTTTGGGACTTGAACTGTAGTCAGACATGTGGAGTGTCCAACACCTTAGCCATCACACCACCTGCTGATTCCACAATGTGTGTTTGTTTTTATGATAGGGAGTGAGTGAGTGCAGGAGAGAGGAAGGCAGAGAGAGGCCAGCAGGGTCTTCACACCACATCCAACCTCCAGCCTCTGGAGCCTGGATCACAGGCATGTACGTGCACCCAGTGTTCACAGGGAGGCTCTGAGCTGTGAACAGGGGACCTCACAATGCGGGTCAAGTTGCAACTGTGGCACCACCCTCTGACCTTTAGCCTTGATTTTTCTTTTCTTTTTTTTTTTTTTAAGTATTTTTTAATTTAATTTTATTTATTCATTCATTTATTTTAATTTAACCTGAGAAAGACAAACACACAGAAAGGAGGAAAGTGAGAAAGCAAGCCACCAGGTCCGGGACTCGAACTCTGGTCGACCATGAGGGAGTCCAGCACCGTTAACCGCCATGTCACCTGCTGGCCCTTGCTTTTTCTTCTTAAACAATTATTTTATATTTATATTACTTTTTAAATGTTTGTTTTACTATAGGACACACGCATTCATTAGAGAGATATGGGGAGGGTGAGAAATAAGCCAGGTCTGGGACTTGAACTGCAGTTAGCCATGTGGGAGGGAGTCTAACACATAAAGGACCATACCACATGCTCCCCCTGACCAGTTTTCTATTTTTCCCTTTTGATTTAGAATTATTTATTATTTTTAGATTATTTTTTTAAATTTTCTTCTTCTTTTTTTTTTTTAGGGATATTTGTTATAGGTTGGATGTCATTCCT